GGGCATTTTTTTTTTCATTCCCAGAGTAATAGATGTTAATATACAGAGATTATTTATGTCCAATTGTGGTCAAACTTATCCCAAGAAATTTCCTCTCAAGCTTCTATTGCTCAACTACTTGTTCTTCCATTTATTTCTACTTCTAATAATGATGTTTTGTGGGGAGATCAAGTCTCTGGATCTATGTTCATATATTCTATTAATCAAATTTCTAATAACCATCCTCAAATGACTGTCCAAATTGAGTCTCAGAGGAGTTTTCTGGACTAGTTGGTACTGAGGTTGACATCTCTGTCATTCCTTCAGCACAGTGGCCTGCTTTAGGGCCTTCAGTTTCTGCTGACGCCTTGTGTGGAATAGGCAGTAGCTCCCAAACCCAACAGAATCATAAGTGCATGGCTTGTTACAACCCCACTGATCATCACTTTGTTGCTCATATTTACCCTTTAATTCTTCCTGTTCCATTTCCCATCTGGGGATGAGATCTTTTACAGCAATTTCAAGCCACAATATTTTTTTTTAATATTTTAGATCCTACATGAGGAGTAAGTGCACAGTGACTCCTGTTGTTGACTTTACAAATTGACACTCCTGTTTATGGCATCAGTAATCTCCTTATGCTCCAGTCATGAGTTTCCAAGGCTATGGAAGCCTTTTGAGTTCTCTGACTCTTACCTTGTTTAGATAAGGTCATAGTCAAAGTGGAGGTTCTCTCCTCCCTTCAGAGAAAGGTACCTCCTTCTTTGAAGACCTGTTCTTTCCACTGGGATCTCACTCACAGAGATCTTTCATTTAGGTTTGTTGTTGTTGTTGTTGTGGTTTTTTGTTGTTGTTGTTGTTGTTTGCCAGAGTGTCTTGGCTTTCCATGCCTGAAATACTCTCATGGGCTTTTCAGCCAGATCCGAATGCCTTTAGGGCTGATTCTGAGGCCAGAGTGCTGTTTAGGACATCTGCCATTCTATTTCTCATTTTCTTCTATTATTGATTTCTAGGTTCATTCCATTGTAATTGCAGGAGATACTTTGTATGATCTCAATTATTTTAAAATTATTGAAACTCATTTTGTGGCCTAACATAAGTTCTGTCCTGAAGAATGCTCCATATTCATTTGTTAATTCCATCCTGCTGTGGATGACTTTTTTTTAAAAAATATTTATTTATTTAAAAGGTAGCAAGGAGAGACAGGGAGAGAGGTCTTCCATCTGCTGGTTCACTCCACAAATGACCACAATGGTCAGTGCTGTGCCAGGCTGAAGCCAGGAGCTAGGAGCTTCTTCCAGGTCTCTTCCATGGTGCAGAGGCCCAGGTACTTGAGCCATCTTCCTCTGCTTTCTCAGGAGCATTATCAGGGAGCTGGATCAGAAGTGAGGCAGTTGGGACTTGAACTGGTGCCCATATGGGATTCCGGCACTATAGGCCATGGCTTTAATCTGCTGTGTCACAGCACTGGCCCTATAACATGTTCTATATATCTTTTGGTATAGTTGGACTAAAGTATTGTTCAGGTTCTCTATTCCTAATGCATGGTTCTCCAGGGAGACAGAGACAACAGGGTATGACATATGTAAGAGTGGATCTGTTATACCTAATCACATGATTATGGCAACTGAGAAATCCTATGGCTGGCCATCTTCAAGGTAGAGAACTGGAATGCCAGTAGCATGGCTCATTCCAAATCCAAAGTCCTCAGATTCTGGAAAGCTAATGTAACAACTCACTCTCAGACTGAAAGCTTCGTGACCCAAAGGGTTACTGGTACAAGTCCAGAGTCTAAATTCCAGTTAGCGTGATATTCTGATGTCCCAGAGAGAAAAAGCACTCACAGAAGAGAACAATTCATCTTCTGTGTTCACCTTAGGCCCTATAGGATGATGCATACCCACATTGAGTGTGAGTCTTTATCACCTAGTATACTCAGATTCACATGAAACACCCTCACAAGCACATCCCAAATAATGCTTTTCCAAGATTCTAGGTGTTTCTTAGTCCAGTAAATTTAATTATTACACCTAAAATTATTTATTACAATCTTTAGTTTTCCATAATTGTTGAAAGTGTAATGTTGAAATGGACAACTATTATTGTAGGACTGAATATTTCTTTCTCAAGTCCTTTATGTTTTGTTTCATATGTCTGATGCCTATTATTAGATATGTTTACCTATATCTGTGTCTCTATCTACATATGTTTATCTAATTACCGTTGCCATAGCTTCTTGATGGATTGAATTTTTTATCAATATGTATTATCCTTATAAAATATCTTTGCCTGATATCACCATAGTCACCAGTTCTCTTTGTTAACCTTTTTGCCAGACTTCTTCTACAGGAGATATTAGTAATTTTGGGGAGTAATCCTTTTTCAAGGCCACTATGAACTTAAAGTACTAATGAACAGTATGTTGTTGAATTTCCTCACTGAAGGTAAATATCTTCTGCTTAATTCTAGGTTTCTATCTTCCTACCAGAGGAAAAATCTATATTAGTGGATATGACATCTCAAAAGACATGGTTCAAGTCAGGAAAAACTTGGGCTTGTGTCCCCAGTATGACCTATTGTTTCCAAATATGACAGTGTCAGAACATCTTCTTTTCTACTGTGTGGTGAGCCAGATATATATATATATATTTTTTCCTTTCACCCACTCTTTTTTAAAAATTTTATTATTTATTTATTTGAAAATCAGAGTTAACAGAGAGAGAAGGACAGAGAAAGAAAGAGGTCTTTCATCCGCTGGTTTACTCCCAGTTGGCCACAATCGCTGGAGCTGTGCTGATCTGAAGTCAGGAGCCAGGAGCTTCCTCTGGGTCTCCCATGTGTCCCTCACTCTTTTCACATATTTCAGGCAGTGTGACCAAGGATTAGTATTCTTACTTTTATTAAAATATTTCTGAAGCATTATTCTTTAATCTTCAATAAAGGAGAAAAGAAACAGCTTACATCTAGTTAGCCATATAAGAAAAGTTCTTTCTTGAGGGGTATTTTAAAAATTTTGATTTTAATTAATTTTTAACATTCAATATGAATTTATACATACAAGTCTAAGAGCATAATGATATTACCTTCTTCCCTCCATTTCTCCCACCCTCCTATCTTCTGCCTTTCTTTCTGTCTCTTTTATTTTTTAGTCTTTGAGATGGCGTATTTTAAATCTACTTTTCAGTAAAAAGGCCTACTACTTCACTGAATAAGAAGTTTAACAAATAAAGGCAAAAAAGATCCTAGTTTAGTGTTGAAAGTTTGACTACAATGTGTCATGGTGAAGATCTTTTCTGGGCATGTCTACTAGGAGTTCTGTTTGCTTCCTGTATTTGGGTGTACCTTCCATCAAATTAGGGAAGTTTTCTATAATTATTTCACTAAATGGGCCTTCTATTAATTCTTCATTCATTCAATCCATTCTCTTTTTCACACCTTCAGGTTCTCCTGAGACCCGTATGTTTGGTTGTTTGATAGTATCCCATAAATCTAACACTATAGCACTATTTCTAGTTTTTCTAATTTTTTTTTTGTCATACCAAGATGTTTCCAAAGATTTTTCTTCTAGCTCACAGATTCTTTCTTCTGTTTCACCAAATCTGTTGTTAAGGCTTTCCACTGTATTTGTTATTTGACATATTAAATTATTCACTTCTAATGTTTTAGTTTTCTCTTCAAAATCTCTAACTCATGGGAGAATTTTTCACCCATGTCTTGTACGGATTTTCTTAATTCATGGAGTTGCTTCTTATTGCTTCTGGGTAATCCTATGATCATTCTGTTGCATTCCTTTTCAGGCATTTCATTGATCTCTTTGTCTTCACTTTCTAATATTGAAGAGTTATTTTGTTCCTTGGGAGAGATGTTGACTTCTTTGTTCTTGTTTCTTGTATTTCTGTGTTTATTTTTAGGTATTTGTGTAAACACTTATTGATTTTCTCCACTGATGGCTTGTATCTTTGAACATTGCCTTTGTGGCTTAGTGGAGTGTTTGCTCCTTCAGTGAATACCCAGAAGTGTATGTTGGATGGAGCTAAGGATCTCTGCTCAGTGTTCAAGGGTAGGGTGAGAATCCGGGGTGACTCCCAAGTTAGTCATGGTAATTTCTTCTGTTGTCAGCAGGGGGGAAGAGTGTGACCAGGAGTTTTGGTGTAATCACACCCTCACCTCTCTTCTAAGGTGAACAATGCCTGAGGTTAGCATACAGTAGGTATAACCCTAATCCATGCTGTCGCATGAACCACAGAAAGGATCTTTGCAGTCCGCAGTATGAGGATAGATTCCACTGCAATGATCCATTCCAGGCAATCAGGGAGCTGTGAGCCTCTGACGCCAGACACATGATTGCCCATGACCAAGCTACACCCCACACCCCATCATACAGTTACAGGATTCCAACAGTCACAGTATACAAGGTTCCCACAGTCAGGCTTTGAAGAGGATCCCTCTGTCTCACAAGCCTGTCCCATCCTAAGAGAGAGGATAGTCATTTGCAGCTGCCTATGGGTGCTCTGCCTTGGCAGTTTGAGCCTTGGAATCTGATAGGTTGAGAGGATGGGGGAACTTCATGATCTTAAGTGGGTACCCAGCCCTCTGTAAACCCTCCCAGCCAGACTCAAAGTCAATGGGAAATGTGTTTTTTTCTTTGTGGTTAAATCTCCTGGTTGCACATGTGAGAGCTACACAGACTCTTCTTGGGTCAAGATGGCACCTTCTCCCTGTTGGTTGCCAGGTACCCTTGTAGGAGGTTGGGGAGAAAGAAATGTGCTTTTTCCTCACTGGATTAAAGGGTACCCTGCCCCATGGTAGGGCTCCAGGCCCAACACAAATTTAGTGTGGTCTGCAAAGTTCTCCCTCATGCAACATCCCCAGTGGCATGGGCTGCCGCAGTCTGCCCTCACCTTGCTCTAGAACCTGGTGTTCTCTCAGCTCCTAGCTGCAGGAGTTGTGTGTGGTGTGCCCATTCACTGCTTGCATGTCCACAGTTTCCACAGTACTCCATGGTATTCCTTTTATTTCGGTAGAGTTTCCACTGCAAACTTCTCTACAACTTTCCCCTGGGAGTACACTTTCTCTGCTTTTCTTATGCTATTTTCCCTTAGTCAGAATCATCACATCTTTTCCTTATTCAGCTATCTTGAAATCTAGGAAATGTTCTCTTATGAGAATTTTTTAAGGGTAAAGTTGGAAGTACCATGTAAACACTGGCTTCTCTTTTTAGATAAAAGGAGTACCTCCACAGAGGCGTTCTGTAGAAATTAACAAAATGCTGACTTCTTTTGGCCTGCTACACAAACGTGATGAATTTTCAAAGTCTCTCAGTGGAGGAATGAAACGCAAACTCTCTATTATTATTGCACTTATAGGGGGCTCCAAGGTAAATAACAAATTAGAATGAGTTCCTGTTCCAGCTGATGTATCAAGTACAGTGGATACCAACACGAGTGCTGACATGAATTTGTAGACGAGAAAATTCCCAAATGAAAATCAGAGGGATTTCCTGTTCCTGACCTTTCCTAGCTGATATAATGTGGCCATGTTTTTTTTTTTTTTTTTAAGATTTATTTATCTACTTGAAAAGCAGAGATATAGAGAGAGTAAGAGAGAGGGAGGGAGGGAGGGAGGGAGAGGGAGAGAGAGAGAGAGGGAGAGAGAGAGAGAAAGATCTTCCATCTGCTAATTCACTCCACAAATGGCCACAACTGCTTTAGCTGAGCTGATCCAAAGCCAGGAGCCAGGAGCTTCTTCAGGGTGTCCCACGTGGGTGCAGCGGCCCAAAGACTTGGGCCATCTTCTACTGCATTCCCAGGCGAAAGCAGAGAGCTGGATTGTAAATGGAACAGCCTAAACTTGAACCACCACCCATATGGAATACTGGTGCTGCAGGCTGGGGCTTTCACCTGCTGTGCCACAGTGCCATGGGTTTTACCGTGTTCTTAATGCTAGTATAGTCTACAATTTGTATTTTATATTAAATATGCCCCATGAAAAAAAATTATCCCATAAGTAGCATAGTGTGAGTTAAGTATATCTGAAAGCTGTTCTTGGTCTTTAGGTAGTGATACTTGATGAGCCAACATCTGGCATGGATCCAGTCTCAAGGAGAAGCACCTGGAATGTCCTTCAGCAGTTTAAAGAGGATCGAACCATCTTACTGACCACTCATCACATGGATGAAGCTGACGTCCTGGGTGACCGCATTGCCATCATGGTCAAAGGGACCCTGCAGTGTTGTGGCTCCTCCATTTTCCTGAAAAAAAGATATGGTGCCTTAATATTATTCTTCTTCTAATATAATTCTCATAATTTTTTTCTATATACATTCAGTGGATCTCTGTGTCCTATTGCATTAGGTCCACTATTTAAATTGAATGCATGGCTCTTTGTAATTCGTGTACTCTAGAATGATGATAAAAAGTGTAGTATAGTTAATATATAAGCCAACAAATGTCGTTGTTTGTTATTATTAACAGGTATTATGTTCTATAAATAACTGTATGTGGTATACTTTTCTATGACTGGCAGTGAGTGTAGTAAGTTTATTTATACCAGCATCACCACAAGCATGTGAATAATGAATTACACTGTGACATCAGTGGATGAAAGGAGTTTTTCAGTTCCATTATAAAATGATGAGACCACCATTATATATGCAGTCCATAATTGACTGAAGTTGTTATGCAGCACTTGATTATACTTAGAGAGATGAAATGAAGGAAATCCAACCAAGATATAACACAAAGTATTCAACAATTTTAAGTTCTGGTAGATTATGAAACCAGCTTACTGCAAAGCTTTAACAGAGTTAGAAACTGAAACTGAAGATAATTTGAAGCTCATTTGCTATTAAACATATTCATGATGGCTCTTTTTTTTTTTTTTTTGACAGGCAGAGTGGACAGTGAGAGAGAGAGAGAAAGAGAGAAAGGTCTTCCTTTGCCGTTGGTTCACCCTCCAATGGCCGCCGCGGCTGGCGCGCTGCGGCCGGCGCACCACGCTGATCCGATGGCAGGAGCCAGGTACTTCTCCTGGTCTCCCATGGGGTGCAGGGCCCAAGCACTTGGGCCATCCTCCACTGCACTCCCTGGCCACAGCAGAGAGCTGGCCTGGAAGAGGGGCAACTGGGACAGAATCCGGCGCCCTGACCGGGACTAGAACCCGGTGTGCTGGCGCCGCAAGGCGGAGGATTAGCCTAGTGAGCCGCGGTGCCGGCCCATGATGGCTCTTAAAAATAGAAATTTTATCAGGCAAGAGACTGTTGTTTTTCTTAGAGGGATAGATTATGTATTTAATCAGAATAGATTGCATTAAAACATTTTTAATTAAAATTTTTAACTGGGAACATTAGTGGCCAGCAACATGGATGAATTATATATATGAAACCCAAACATGGATGGTAAGCTAGGACTAGAGATAATGACTTCAATTGCTTCTCAGCCTTTTGGCTAAGATCAAGTGAGATAATGACTTCACCATTCAGTATTTTCTAGCACTTTATATGTTAATTGTATTCATTAACCTGAATATGTATTAATGAAAAAGTAATACAGTTTTATATATTAGGTCTCTTCTCACACATACTAACTTTAGCCCTGTTAACTAGGATCTTCCTGGTTATTTTAACCTTTAACTCTTCCTTTCTTTAGTCATTATTTAGGCATCAGCAGCTTATTGCATCTTGTTCTCTGATGACATGTAAATTTAACAGTGTGGTGAGCATAATTCAAATCTCAGTTAACTGCCTACAATTCTGCACAAAGAAGAAATTTTTTAAAAAAATTTAAAAATGAGGGTACAGGAAAATTGAATGACTTCCTGTGCCATAATTAAATAGAAGAGCATCAGAAAAATTTTACTTTGCACATTGTGTGGGAACACCAAGGACAGCCTTGGTTTCAATAGCTTTTAAATGATGGACAAGTTATTCAACACTTTGGGTCTCACTTCTCTTTTTTTGCAAAATGAAATAATGATATCTTCCTTGCTAGAAGCAGGTGACTGAGCCAGAGCAAGTATTTTTAAAAGATTTACTTATTTATTTGAAAGGCAGAGTTACAGAGAGGCATAGGCGGATAAAGAGAGGTCTTCCATCTGGTGGTTCACTCCCTAGATGGCTGCAATGGCTGGAGTTGGGCCGATCTGAAGCCAGGATCCAGGAGCTTCTTCCAGGTCTCCCATGTGGATGCAGTGGCCCAAGGATTTGGGCCATCCTCTACTGCTTTCCTAGGCCATAGCAGAAAGCCAGATCAGAAGTGGAGTAGCTGGGACTTGAACTGGCGTTCATATGGGATGCCAGCACTGCAGGTGGCAGCTTTACCAGCTATGCCACAGCACCGGTCCCCTAGAACAAGTATTGAGGCAACTTTTAATTCTTTCTAAGACTTACCTTTTTGTTTTCATAATCAAGGACAGAACTATGAGAGCTATATTTTGAACTTTATAATGGACTTTTTTTTCAATCTGAGAATTTTTTCTATATTTTCAAAATGTAGAATAAATTCTATTAGCTGCCTCACTTCCAAGAGACCTTTTTTAGTAGCACCTTTCCAGTGAGTCCTTTCCTGGCTCATATCCAAAGTTTCAGCACTTCAACACCATTGTTTCATAATGCCCTTCCCTAGACTGTTACCTTTTTTCTCGTAGACACTGACACTATGTAGTGCACTATACATTTTATTAATTATTTTCTGTTACCTTGTTTTTCTCACTGAAATATAAATTATTGTTTTTTTTTTCAAAAATAACTATTTATTTATATGAAAGAGTTGCAGATAGAGAGGATGAGACAGAGAAATCTTCCATCTGCTGATTTACTTCCCAGATGGCTACAGTGATCAGGGCTGGGCCAGGCCAAAGCCAGGAGCCAGGAGCCAGGAGCCAGGAACTTCCTCCAGGTCTCCCATGTGGGTAGCAGGAACCCAAACACCTGTGCCATCTTCCACTGCAGGGAACTGGATCAGACATGGAGCACCTGGGACATGAACCAGCGCCCATATGGTATGCTGGTATTGCCGGCAGCAGCTTTACCTGCTATGCCACAATGCTGTCCCCAGTCATTATGATTTTTAGCTTTTTGGCTAACTGCTATGTCCTTAGACATTCTTATATATTCTGTATCTAAAATAGTGCCTGGCTTATAGTAGATATGCAATAAATATAAGTTGAACGAATTAATTAATGCTTATTACTGTCCTCCTAGCTCCCAGATTGCAGTTTCATAGGAAGGGAGATTAAATAACAGAGGGCTTTTCTGTAGTTCTCTAAATTTGCTTACATAACATATATTATTATCCATGCATGCCCCCCCACACACCTTTTTTCCCCTGTCTGAATGACCTTCATTGGTTACAACATGAGAGAGGGACAGCTCCACTTTTGATGGCCTCTTCAGACTTGATCACCACCCTCTAAAAAACCATCCCTGCATTCTTAGAGTAGCATTTGGAAGCTCTTTGAATGCACCTCCTTGGATTTTAGGCAGATAACTGTGACACACCACACTTTCTTCCCTGTACACCTGGGGAACTTGAACCATGGGACCAAGAATGGTTTCCAAAGAGTATAAGAAATTCAAAACTGCTTAATTTGGTCTTCTAAATGGATCTTTTCAGGTGTGGGATACCACTTAGTCATAGTGAAAAAACTTGATTGTGATGTTAAGAGAGTCTCCAACTTGATTATTTATTATGTACCAACTGCCAGTTTGGAGAACGATGTTGCAGCTGAATTATCATTTCTACTACCGAAAGAATATACACACAGGTATGGATATAGAAAATGCTAGATGAATGGTGTTAGGTAATCATAAATCATGCTTCCAGATTTCCTCAGGCTTGACAGTTAACTTATTCTAATTGTCAATTGACAAGTAGTCAGAAAATTTACTTCCTTTAGATTGCATTAATTGTACAGATGGCAGCCAATAGGGAAAACATTTGAAACCCATGCAGGTTTCATAGTGGGCATTTTCTACGAACTTTTTAAAGACCTCTCATATGATGCTTTATTGGTATAAAATTCCTTCTTGGAAAATAGCATCCAGTGAATTTTTTAACTTATTATTTTTTTCTTTCAGTTTTATTTCTAGTTGAAAAATAATTGGTGAATTTATAAATATACAGTGTAATGTTTTGATGTATGTTTACATTGTGGTTTTCTCTTCTTGTAATGACTTTGTTTTAGTTTTTGACACATAAGATCATATTATCTGCAAACAGGCATAATTTTACTTCTTCCCCAATTTGGATTCCTTTATTTCTTTTGCTTGCTTAATTGTTCTTTCCAGAACTTCCAGTACTATGTTGAATGCAAGTGAAAAAGTTGACATCCTTGTTTTATTACTGATTTTAAAAGAAAAGCTTTTGTCTTTCACCATTGAACATAGTGTTTTCTGTGGGCTTTTTATATATCACGTTTATTTTATTGATACACTTTCCTTCTATTCCTAGTTTGTTGAGTATATTTATCAAAAAAGTTGAAAATTGTCAGTTTTTTCTGCATCAATTGAAATGATAATTTTTTCTTTCATTCTAGAAATACTAGATATCACATTGCTATATCATGCATTACATATGTTATATATTACAATATTACATTGATATATTTTAGTAAATTGAACCATTGCTTCATTCCAAGAATAGATCCCACTTAGCTGTTGTACTCTTTAATATGCTTTTGAATTCAGTTTGAAGTTACTTTGTTGAGCATTTTTGCATCAATGTTCTTAAGGAACACTGGTCTGTACTTTTCCTGTTTTTTGTATAAGGGTGATACAGGCTTCATTGAGTGAGCTGGAAAAATTCCTTCCTCTTTTAATCTTTGGGGAAAAATTGAGAAGATAGGCAGTTGTTCTTCTTTAATTATTTGGTAGGATTGACCAGTGTCACCAGGCTCAGAGCTTTTCTTTGTTAGAAAATTTTATTACTGGTTTAATCTCCTTAATAGGTATATTTATTCTGATGTTGTATTTCTTTATAATTTAGTCTTGGTAGGTGGTGTTCCAAACCAAAGTTACAGAAATATTAAATTTTAGAACACTAATTTTAAAAATGTATTAATCTGTTAAATTATATAGATGATTTAAAAGTACAGTTACAGAATATTGTGGCATATACTAGTTTTTATAGCACTAGTTTTTTTTATGTTTCCCTTTTTGGTTTTTCATACATTTTCAAGTTACTTTCCAATATCCTTCTATTTCAACTTGTAGGACTTTCTTGAGCATTTTTTTGCAAGTCAGGTCTAGTGTTATGAATTTGTTATCTTTTGTTGATTTGGAAATGTCTTACCCCCCCCCCCCGTTTTGAAGGGCAGTTTTTCCAGATGTAGGTTACTTGGATGATATATATATATTTTTAATTTTAGCACTTGGAATATATCAACCTACTGCCTTCTGGCCTCCAAAGGTTCTGATAAGAAATCCAATAATCTTATTGAGGAGCCCTTGTGCGTGATGAATTGATTCTCTCTTGATGCTTTCAAGATTCTCTCTTTGTCTTTGGTTTTCTTTTTTTTAAAAAGGTTTATTTATTTATTTGAAAGTCAGAGTTACACAAAAAGAGAAGGAGAGGCAGAGAGAAAGAGAGAGAGGTCTTCCATCCAATGGTTCACTCCCCAATTGGCCACAACTGCTGGAGCTGGGCCGATCTGAAGCCAGGAGCTTCTTCCAGGCCTTCCAAATGGGTGCAGGGGCCCAAGGAGTAGGGCCATCTTCTATTGCTTTTCCAGACCATAGCAGAGAGCTGGATCAGAAGTAGAGCAGGCTGGCGCCGCAGCTCAATAGGCTAATCCTCCACCTTGCGGCGCCGGCACACCAGGTTCTAGTCCCGGTCGGGGCACCGGATTCTGTCCCGGTTGCCCCTCTTCCAGGCCAGCTCTCTGCTATGGCCCGGGAGTGCAGTGGAGGTCACCCGCATGGGAGACCAGGGGAAGCACCTGGCTCCTGGCTTCGGATCAGTGCGATGTGCCGGTCGCAGCGCGCTGGCCACGGTGGCCACTGGAAAGTGAACCAATGGCAAAAAAAGGAAGACCTTTCTCTCTGTCTCTCTCTCTCTCACTGTCCACTCTGCCTGTCAAAAAAAAAAAAAAAAAAAAGAAGTGGAGCAGCCAGGACTCGAACCGAACCAGCACCCATATGGACTGCTGGCACTGCAGGCGGCAGCTTTACCTGCTCCACCACAGCACCGGTCCCTGTCTTTGATTTTCAAAAATTCGATTATGTATCTTGGTATGAATATGTCTGAGTTCATCTTCCTTGAAAATCATTGTTTCTTTTTTTTCTTTTTTTTTAGATTTATTTTATTTATTTGAAAGACAGAGTTGCAGAGAGAGGTAGAGCCAGAGAGAGAGAGAGAGAGAAAGAGGTCTTCCATCCTCTGGTGTACTCCCCAGACGACTGCAATGGCTGGAGCTGTGCAGATGCAAAGCCAGGAGCCAGGAGCTTCTTCCAGGTCTCCCATATGGGTGCAGGGGTCCAAGGCGGGCCATCTTCTATTGCTTTTCCAGGCCTTAGCAGAGAGCTGGATTGGAAATGGAGTAGCTGGGACTTGAACCTGCGCCCATATGGAATGCCAGTGCTAAAGACCAGGGCTTTAACCCACTGTGCCACAGCACCAGCCTCTCATTGAGTCTCTAGTATGTTTATTTTCTTCAAATCTGAGGGAATTCTGTAGGCAGGGTCTCTTAAGAGAAGGTATCTCGAATTTCCCTATTAGCCTTGATGAGTCTAGTTTCTCATTTTTCCTGGGTATAATAGCCTTTCAATTTGCTTCCAAACTTTTCATAAAAAGAATTTATCCATGGGTTATTATTGAATAAATGTTTTCAAGAGGGCAAGAGGGTCCAGGTATTACTACTCTGCTGTCTTGCTGATGTCACTTTCCCATCATATTTTTGATTTTTAAATTGCTACCCATCTTTATGAATATAATAAAGTAGTAAAACAGGCACAGATACTCATTTGCTACATTTGGCAAATATTTACCATAATCAGATATTTATGTACATGAATGTTCATGCCATCCTTATTTATTACAACACAGTAAATATAATAGTATATTTTTGGAATTATTTACAATGTTCATGTTACTAGAGAACATTGGAGAAACCCTTCAAGATATTGGCACAGGCAAAGAATTTCTGGAAAAGACCCGGGAGGCACAGGCAGTCAAAGCCAAAATCAACTATTGGGATTGCATCAAATTGAGAAGTTTCTGGACTGCAAAAGAAACAGTCAGGAGAGTGAAGAGACAACCGACAGAATGGGAAAAAATATTTGCAAACTATGCAACAGATAAAGGGTTAATAACCAGAATCTACAAAGAGATCAAGAAACTCCACAAAAACAAAACCAACAACCCACTTAAGAGATGGGCCAAGGACTTCAATAGATATTTTTCAAAAGAGGAAATCCAAATGGCCAACAGGCACATGAAAAAATGTTCAAGATCACTAGCAATCAGGGAAATGCAAATCAAAAGCACAATGAGGTTTCACCTCACCCCGGTTAGAATGGCTCACATACAGAAATCTACCAACAACAGATGCTGGCGAGGATGTGGGGAAAAAGGGACACTAACCCACTGTTGGTGGGAATGCAAACTGGTCAAGCCACTATGGAAGTCAGTCTGGAGATTCCTCAGAAACCTGAATATAACCCTACCGTTCGACCCAGCCATCCCACTCCTTGGAATTTACCCAAAGGAGTTTAAATTGACAAACAAAAAAGCGGTCTGCACCCTAATGTTTATTGCAGCACAATTCACAATAGCCAAGACCTGGAACCAACCTAAATGCCCATCAACGGTAGACTGGATAAAGAAATTATGGGATATGTATTCTTTAGAATACTATACTGCAGTAAGAAACAACGAAATCCAGTCATTTGCAACAAGATGGAGGAATCTGGAACACATCATGCTGAGTGAAGTAAGCCAGTCCCAAAGGGACAAATACCATATGTTCTCCCTGATCGGTGACAACTGACTGAACACCAAAAAGGAAACCTCCTGAAGTGAAATGGACACTATGAGAAATGGTGACTTGATCAGCATAGCCCTGACTGTTAATGGACAACTTAATACATTATCCCTCTTAGTATTTTTTTTGTCTGTTCTGCTTAATATGACTGGTTTAATTCTGTAATTATCACACAGTTATTCTTAAGTGTTGAAAATTAACTGAAATGTGATCCCTGTTAAACATAAGAGTGGGAATAAGAGAGGGAAGAGATGTATAATTTGGGGCATGCTCGGGCTGACTTGCCCCAATTGGTAGAGTTGGAAACATACCAGGGGATTCCAGTTCAATCCCATCAAGGTGGCATGTGCCAATGCCATCTCACTATTCCAAGTGATCAATTTCAGTTCACAATTGAGCATAATGAAAGGACTAAGAGTCAAAGGGAGCACATAAACAAGTCTAGTATCTGCTAACACTAACCGATAGAATAAATAAAGGGGAGAGTGATCCAACATGGGAAGTGAGATACTCAGCAGACTCATAGAATGGCGGATGTCCTAAATAGCACTCTGGCCTCAGAATCAGCCCTAAAGGCATTCGGATCTGGCTGAAAAGCCCATGAGAGTATTTCAGGCATGGAAAGCCAAGACACTCTGGCAAAAAGATCTCTGTGAGTGAGATCCCAGTGGAAAGAACAGGTCTTCAAAGAGGGAGGTGCCTTTCTCTGAAGGGAGGAGAGAACCTCCACTTTGACTATGACCGTGTCTAAACAAGATAAGAGTTGGAGAACTCAAGGGGCTTCCATAGCCTTGAAAACTCATGACTGGTGCATAGGGAGATTACTGATGCCATAAACAGGAGTGTCAATTTGTAAAGTCAACAACAGGAGTCACTGTGCACTTACTCCTCATGTAGGATCTCTGTCCTTAATGTGCTGTACATTGAGGCTTAATGCTATAACGAGTACTCAAACAATATATTTCACTTTGTGTTTCTATGGGGGTGCAAACGATTGAAATCTTTACTTAATGTACACTAAACTGATCTTCTGTAAAAAAAAAA